GCGGGCACAGCTTATAACATAAACGAGAACCTATATAAATATAATTAAAGTAATATTTTTATATTACATATGTGTTTATAGATAATTTGCGATAGATAATGGCAACCATCATTTTGCATACATCATTGCGCCACTCACATTATTTAACGATTTTTATTTCGGACTACTCTAATGCTGTTGGGTACAGTTGGCCTTTACAGTTCACCAGACGATGGGAAGGCGAGTACCCTTCAAACTCGCGGAAGGACTTATGGAGCGGCTGAAGGCCAACTCCAGCCTGACGGATACGACTTTATTCTGAGGGCACCACTAGGGGTTCGAACCTCGGTCCAGGCCATCTTAATTTCGATCACCGTTTGAGTTGGACAGGGTATCGATCGGACGTGGCTTTATTTTACGTTATATGTAATTGACACAATGTCAATTACATACAAAGCTACCCCAAGTTAACTGAAATAATATTAACTTCGCGCAACCGTTTGATCCTTTTGCTCGGATGACCGACCTAACGTTATTAACTACGTGTTACATGTGAAATTAGGCTTTATAACATTATTAAACTATGAAAATCCATAAAAATCGAATTCCACGAAGTCAATATATTAATAAAATTAAGATATTTTGCTATTTCAAGTGCAAAAAGAGAAATAGTAGAGAAAAATTACGACGAAATAGTAAGAAATCGGATAAGTAAGAAAAAATTTATAGAATACACCAGAAAAATAATAGAAAAAGTAGCAAAGACCAATAGCAAGTAAGAATATTTTACGATGTATAGTGACTATACAGTCGGGTAAAATAGAACAAGTGTAAAGTAAGAAAGTATTACAATAACTCCGAAAATGTAAACTGTGGAATTAGTATATATATACAGATATATTAGAATAGTCTCTAAAAAATTAGAAAGCCTGGAAATTGGCATCCGGGAAGAAAGAAAAGGAAAAAAAAAGTGCAAAAAGTATGATAATTATTAAACACGTAGAGACGTAGGTACGCAAAGGAATTTAAATATAAATTCCTAGGCTTACTCTACAAGCATTTCTTTATGATATATTTTGTGAGGCGTTTCATTAAATCGTTGTCCAAGAAAAGAAGATAAACGATCCAACCTCAGAAAATACACCAATAAATACCTGTATGGAAAAAAAATTCTAATGTAAATCTGTGTTTATATGTCATGTTAAAAAATTAAAGGCCCTTTACTTCATCGTGTACGATTCCAAACATCCATAATATAATATAAATTAACAAAATATGTACTCGTATATTCAAGTGCTATTACATTTTTATGTTTATTATATTTATAATTTAATTCATATTTCATATTATATTTATAATTTAATTTATCACATATAAATTAAATTAATAAATAAAATTAAAGGTACCTTACCTTAAACCTACATTACACATAGTACACTATAAAAGTATGCGAGTATTAAAAAAAAATTGTAAATTATTTTAAAACAATATTAAAAAAACTAATTATCATAATACAGTTTATAATTGTACAGAATTGTAAATTTGTATATTTGTATGAACCCAATACATTTTCTATATATTGATAAATTATATTAGTTTACGTGATATCTCCGTATAGTCATCATTGTTATTATTGAAAATAATGACATGACGGATTTAACTATTAATCCTTCACTGGATGCAACAGGCTATATATGTTAGTATATAAGGTATTTATATTTAAATATAATAATATGGACCTTTAGTAACCTGAAATAAATAATTAAATACATAGACTACCTACTATATTCGCCTCATCTCCAATAAAATGAAATATATATAAGTAGAAAACAGAAATATGTATATAGAAATGGGATGTCATTCAATTGCTTTGCAGTTTCTGAAAGGTTTATACTAACAAAATAATAATAATTCCACATAAGTTAGTATTTGTTATTATAAAATCGTACTAAAGACATATCGTTATACAATAATCTTCAAATTCTGTATTTCAACAATACTGCTATCGAAATAAGACAATATGTGATGACTCGATAGCAGTATACAAGCATAGTAATATTTACTCCGTCAATGTGATTTATTTTTATTCCATGTAAACAGATGTGAAAGCCTTTATACAAAGTAAATGTAGAAACCTCATGAACGCATAAGCTAAAATGTTACATTAATTCTTTTGGAAATTATTTTATCCGATTTTTTGTGGGGCTTTGATATCTATTGTTATTTTCACGCTAGAAAAAACTCACATACACACACTTACATGTACTTCTATTGTTCATTTTAGCTAATGGGATTTCGTAGGTTATTATTGTCAATATAGAAGTTACGGTTTAATTTAGTGTCGGGTGCCTAAGATTCTCGCCAGCGTCTTCATAGAAACTTAGAAATTTTCATTTTATCTCACTCTTTGTTAGCCTATACTTAATATGGATAAACATACATGTAAAATCAGCATCAATACTCAATTTAAAATGGAGTTTATTATTAAAATACAGTTTCAGCAAAGAAAGTATATTATTTCCTTTGATTAAATTAAAATTTATCTTAGAACATTCTATACTGTATCAAGTACAGCTTTGACAGATTTGGTTCTACTACCTGCATTGATTTTAGTTATGTATTGGTACAATAATAAATCAACTTCTTTTTAGATTGATAATTTCAAGAACATGTTTATTTCCATTTAGACATTACAGATAACCGGATAAAAGGAGTATTGTTCCGCGGCGTAGAAAAAATTTTTTTTTAAGAATTTCATAGTTACGTTTAGGTAACTATGATTCTTTTTGTGGCTAATAACAACAGTATTGGCTACAATTTCACCTGTTTGTTGGTGTTCTGTACTTATTTATTTTATGAGATGGGATGAATCAATATGTTTCCTTTATCTCGTGTGAGAATCAACATAAACTCATTAAAAGGATCAGGTTGATATACCCGCTGAAATAACACACTTTACGGTTGAACAATATAATTTATCTTACTTTGTAATAGGAACAGACATTGTTCATACACTATGGCTTAATATCTTTAAATTTTGAATATTAAATGGTTAAAGCTTCTTATTTATGTTTGTATTTGATCAATACCGTTTCCTAGAATAATTTCTCTTATTTTGATCTTCTCTCCCCCTCATCTCTATATCATCACTCTAATGTATATCTACATATAGTACTCTGTGGAATGACTAAGTAGTATATGTTAGGTAAGAAGCCTTAATGTGTCGTTTCTTTTTTATTTGATTTCACAGGGAGATCAACTCTGCTGATTTATATTTTATTTTTACATTGAGAAGGGTATCATTAATTTCAAATCAATATTAATAAACATCTGTTGTTGTGAAACAAAATCGTAATAAAACTATTATTAAATAACTGCCATTGAATATAACATTAACAAAGAAACCTGACTAAAGATTATTAAAGACAGAGTCTGTACACGGGTTAGACATACCTAAAGTTAATATTGATAAAGATAAAACTTGATATTAAAAGACGTCCTCGGGCTATGCATGTCAAACTGTCTGCTAAGAAATTAGCAATTGAGATGACTAACGTGGAATGTATATGAGTATATTTGTTTGCGCAAATTAATTGAGCCAGCTGCTATGGATGCGGATAAGTTAAGTGTTAGAGAACCCTTTCATTTCTCTTCAAAAGTATCCTATAAATTACTTATTACTTTGCTGATTTTTATTAAAATACATCAAGTATGTAATGAAAGTATGTATGTAGTTAAATGTTAACGTCACATAAAGTACGTAGTTATTACTCGTACTTACACGTACAATATATGAACACGATATAATAAAATGTATTGTATTATTTTACATGAGCGTATTCTATATATAAAACGAATTTTATTTTGGGATGTCAATCGGTCCCTGAAGGATAATAAAATAAATAACACAATATCACCGAAATGGATCTCAGGAAGAGAATTTGCAACTTACTCCCACATTTTTATAAAACCATATAACGTAGTATAGTTGTCTAGCTAAAAAAAGCGTTTACGTATTATTGTTTGTGACTCTATGTACTTGTTCGTTAGACCGTGCTACAATTCTCAAAGTATAACTGAGCAATTTTATTTAATTCTTCAGAAAAAATGCAGTTATAAGCAGATATACACATTCTTATGTAACTCAGTTCCATTTAAATCTATTTATTTAGTAAAATCTAAACATTAATATATCTATAGATCTTTTTGGTAGTATTATTTATTGCGGTAAAAGACTGCTCTAGGTTCAATAATTCGCTCATCGATTTGGGATCCAGATATGAAACTATACATACATACCTAATTGTTTGATGTCAATAAATAGAATACAGATGGGACCATATTTGTATACGTAGTACCTCTTTCTAATATATTAGTTGACATCTAGTGACTTTTAAATTATATACGAGTTTTACTCTATATATTCCACTATTTCAAATAATCATTTAGAATATAACTCGTTATTATTATCAAAAACTCATTTAACAATGTATTATATGGCATCTATACTAAGGTATAAAACTGAAGAGTGTCATTGTTTACATGTTGTCTGTGAAATTGCTGATTTAAAAAATCTTAACCTGAGATGAATTATAAGCTATTTAATACCTTCAGAAAAGAAGCAAAACGTAAATATCAGAAAACAAAGCAGTGAAACATACATATATTGTAATAAAATACTGCCAGGCGGATTCCGTACATTGTAGATATTGTAAAAGAAAATGATATCTGGAATTTTCTTTATTAGTGAAACAGATGTCCATACAATAACTTTTAAAATGTTTGTTTATCTTGTCTGACTGTATATCTGTATAGACATCGTGCAAAAAGTAGTACCCAATAAAATTCATTACAGTTTATACTAAGAGTTTCATCGTTTGACATGACATCACGTCATGTGGACGGTCGGAAATCGAGGCAAAATGACATTTATTTTAAATTAAACTGCAGATCTATCCACGGGACAAAGGTGATAGCAATGATATATGTATTTTAATTAAAGAAATCTTTTCTTATAACAGGTTCTATACACAAGAATTGCGGTGGGCCTGTGGCAGAGCTCCAATAGTCTGCAACAGCTTGGCCGGGTGCAGTGTTGTGCATCTCAATGCCCCCGCTTTGAGAAAAGCGCGCAAACAAACTTCGAGCCCCAGCGAACGTTCATCGGCACTACCGAAGCCAAGGTGAGCAAAGGAAGAGTCAAGTCTTGGCTAAAATACGCCAATATCGACCAAGTTTAATTAAATGAAGTGAGGAGTTTCGGAGCCTGTTGAAACGTATTCTGACTGTATACATTTCAACAGGCTGTCAAAATAAGGACATTCTAATTCGCTCGTATTATCGTTGAGCGAAATCTTTGGAAAAGCGGATTTCGAAGATTTTTTTAGTATCAGTAGGATTCGGGGCCCGAGTTAATCCAATTAAAATTTTGTCACAGTTGGTATTTTGTTTCTTTTATGTAACAAAATACATGTACCTGGCGTATATACACTGTATGGTATTTTCTCCAAAAGTGAGCTAAATTGAATTACTTTTTTGTAATTAATAGGATTAACTCGTGTGATGTTTATTCTATATTAATTTTAATAAGATTGATAATCTTTAGTTTTTGTACAATAATACGATATATTTACTTACACTTATCTATAAAAACTACGTCATTTGCTTTTTTAACAAGCATGTTACGATTCCCATAGGGTATTGATGATTCTTTTTACAATAAATCAGATAAGCTATGATAAATCAGATATTTTATGATACAATATACTTGTGTCATCAAAGTGACTCTCTTAAATCAAATAATATTAGAAAATCCATCACTTCTGTATCGTTTATGACATAAGCCAGTACCAATATTTTGAACAATGTAAAACAATTTTGACAATGATTAGACTCGTCAGCGACGAAATTGAAAATCGATTTATATAAACAGACTAGCATTGAATCTAAATAAATAGTTGTCTTTGTTTTAAAGCAAGAATAAAATCAAGAAGTAACACTATTAATATATATAATGAATAATAAATGTTAACATTTTTGTTCGACAAATGAATAACCTATTATAAATTTTGTAAGAGCGGCTAATTTTCTTTTAATTGCTTATAGCGTAGTAAAAATAAGTATATTTTAACTGTAGCTAATTGAAACTAGTGATAGTATGTGAGTACTCTGTTCTGATCAACAAAAACACATGACTAATCAAAGTAATAAAGTGTTACATGCGCGGCTGTGAGTGAATTCCAACTTATATCAAAATGTAGATACATGTCTAATCTTATAATGATGTTCTTTTACTGTAACGTTAACATTGCAAGACAAGACACAAAAGATAATAATACAATTTAACATTGAAATTATATTACTGACTAGCTGTACCCGCGACTTCGTCCGCGTGGAATTATACTTTATTTTTCTAATCTATAAAATAATGTTTGTAAAATAAAATTAGCCTAAGTTACTACTTAATACAATAGCTACCTGCCAAAAAAAAGTCCCGTCAAAATCGGCCCAGCCATTTCAGAGATTAGCCGGAACAAACAGACAGACAGACAACAATTTTAAAAAATGATATTTTGGTGTATGTACCGTATTTATATTCATATGCATGTAGTAAAAAACGGTTATTTCAATATTACAAACAGACACTTCAATTCTATTTACATGTATAGATGACGATACATCCATACAACTTACTTTTTCAACCCCCTTCAATCCTTTTTCACATTAAAAAGTAACCTATGTCCTTTCTCAGAGTCTCGTCTATCTGTGTCCCAGAATTCATTTAATTCGGTTTAGTAGTTTTGGCGTATAAGCGCGTAGGAAGGAAGCTATTTAATAAACTAACCTAAAGAAAAAAGTTCCATCGTTCTAACTTCAAAAATTATGACATGCCATAAGAATTTTCATCTCCTATTTTATTTTACCATACTTTAGGGTAAAATTTTACTAAATTTAAATGTTATATTTCATCAACAGCCTAAAAAATACATTCTAAGCTTCTAGCCTTAAAAATAACTTCTACTTTTAACTAACTTTAACCTTGCTACTACTTTTTGAACTTTCATCTTCCCTTTCAACCCCCTTATAACCCTTTTTCACACGGGGGGGAAGGGGATTGTTAGTAATGTGGATTGATAACCCCATTGCTAGCAATGTACCGTGTCAGGTCGACCTCCACGCGGTTCCCCCTGGTAACCATCGTGTTAAATTCCTGGTGAATTTGTCACGATGGGCTAACTGACCTGACCTCATCAATGTCTTATCATCCTCCACTGGTGCCACGCCAGCGTAAACCGTTAGCGCAGGCGGGTGCTCTATTCCATTATCATCCACAAAAAAAAAAAAAGCCTTTTTCACATTACAAAATAATCTATGTCCTTTCTTAGATTCTAGACTATCTGTGTACCAAGTTTCATTTAAATCGGTTCAATCGTTTTGGTGTGTAAGCGATACAAACGGACAGACAGAGTTACTTTCACATTTATAATATTAGTAAGATATTAATAAACTAACCCAAAGAAGATAAAGAAAAAAGCGTAATCGTTCTAGCTTCAATAATGACGAATTTCCATAAAAACTATCATAACCTTTTTTATTTTACCCACTTAAGGGTAATTTGTCAAACTTTGAATATCATATTCATTTATAGTTAATTACTATAAATGAATATGATATACTTTATTTTTCTAATCTAAAATAATGTTTGTAAAATAAAAGTAGCCTAAGTTACTCCCTATTACATCAGCTACCAGCCAAAAAAGTCCCGTTAAAATCGGTTCAGCCATTTCAGAGATTAGCCGGAACAAACAGGCCGACAAACCGACAGACAAAAATTTTTAAAAGTGTTTTTTTGGTATATATACCTTATTTATATTTACATGCATGCAGTAAAAAACAGTTATTTCAATATTACAGAGTATAGAGTTTAGATGTATAGATAATATTAGTACATGAGTGAATCAAAATTTAGGCGAAAATATATCGTAATTGTGTACAACGACCACCATATGTAGGAATTCTAATACGTAAAGTAAACACTATATATGTACCCTTTTACATGAGGCGTATAAAATTAAATAAAATTCAAACTTTATTTGAAATAATACTGAATGGATACTACATTAAATTAATAAATTAATAAAACATTATCCATACTAGGTATCACGCATTTGACTATCGTAAATATATATATACAGCAATGTATATTTACTTTTAGTCTTTGACAATAGACGCATAGTAACTTTTTTTTTTTATAAATGATAATGTAATGGTGCACCCGCCTGCGCTATCGGTTTACGCTGGCGGGGCACCAGTGGAGGATGATAAGATGAGAATGAAGTCAGGTCAGTTAGCCCATCGTGACAAATTCATCAAGAATTTATCACGATGGTTTCCAGGGGGAACCGCGTGGAGGTCAACCTGACATGGTACATTGCTAGCAATAAGATCATCAATCCACATTACTAACAATCCCCTTTCCCCCCCGCATAGTAACTATAAACTTCATTTTAAATCAATTACGGTTGAATTTGCACCACTGTGCGGACACATCTAATAAAGTCCTTTCACAGAAACGTGTATAAACCTACCAATATTTCGAAATACCTTTAAATGATCCATGTATGTATTAAAGTTAAAACTGACCGTATCACTCTATATTTTAACATAACAATGTGTAGCCCAAAACTACGAAGCACAGAATGTTGAAACAACATTCCGTTTATGTAATACAGGTAGGCATCCACTAAGAAATTTAGATGGAAACGAGATATAACAGGTTCCGAGCGCGCGAATCGCAGGGCATTCTTCTAATATGTATAAGAAAAATTCTCATATTGAGTGGATATAAACGGAAATAGAGCAATCTCTATTTTAGGATCTGTTTTAAAATCTCATGTGCCTACTGTCAGCTAATAAACACTATGAAAAGTATATATTTTCATTCACCACCATCAAATAATATCATATAAATCGTCCATTGTTAAGCTCTTACTGCAATATACCTTAATAGGATATGTGTACATAATTGAACTACGTCTATATGTATATAATAAAAAAAATTGTACAAGTAACATTGCTAAAATATTTATTTCTACAACAAGAGTTACCGGGTTTGTTATGTTCAAATTAACTTGTCTGAGAGATATAGTTTTTTTAATATCTCCAGAGAAATTCATTTATTTATTACATCCAATTCCGCCATATTTCTTTCTGATTAAACTCGTAAGATTTATACCGGTTTAGTCCCGAGACTGTAATACAATAGCTCCATCACTCATTGCCCTAATATAGTATGTCACGTCTGGATACTAGAGAAATAAAAGGAATATAGGTTAGTACAGAAGTAATGAGAAGTAGGTATGTCTTTCAACAAAAAACCATCGTGAAGATATCAATATGGGATATAACATCTCAGTACAAGTTCAAAAGTAATGATTTTATATTTATATATAGACTTTAATATACACATAGAAATAAAAATTATTTAACCATAATAATATCCTTATTTTTAAGTCAATAGAAATTATATATAATATGACTGATAAGGTAATTTCTACTTTATCCGCGCTAAACCCTTTTCCCCCGATCTCAGGAGAATTTTAAAGTCTTTGTAGACGTTTTAATTATTTACATTTAATTTTAGGAATGTTTCATAAGATTGAATGTATACCAAATTATTTTAAATATTTTATTTTTTGCGTATAATGAACATAATTGTATTTTTTCTTAGACATATGTAATATATTTTTTCTAGATATATTTTCTGTATTGTAATAAGCTTCATGTAATTATTTTTGTTTTTATAATATAAAATGTTACCAAAAGTTACTCTAATGAGATATCCCATAAATACTGTACCATGTACTGTGTTATGTAAGAGTAATTACTATCATGAATAATCTAATCACGTATTGGAATAACGTTCGAAAAAATGTATATATAAATTTATTTAAAAATTTATACATTTTATTTTAAATCCGAGAATCAACTTCATTAAAGTAAAATTAAGTGACCTTTACCTGAAGTTCATTAAGTATTTTTTATAATGCACTACGTGAAAGAAGCACTAGAATGAGAATCTCTCGAGACTGCAGTAGTTCTTTAAACTGGTGTAGACTGCGATGTATATTAAACTTGTAGTAGATATGGATATTACTTTAAAGTAAAATATAAAATTTTGTTTTCATACATATTAAACGGAAAGAAACCTTTGATGTTTCTTGTATAATTATGATAATAGGGAACCGTAAAAATAATTTCATTCATTATTTATACATTTCTAGCATTCGACCAAGGAATTTATATTTTTAGGATACTATAATATTAAAGGTTCTCTAATCATCCAGTAGAACATAAGTACTGAATAAGTACTGAGATATTTGCCTAAAATTAAAAAGGAACCGAAACTTTCCTAAATCTAATTTAATGCTTATGATCCCACAGACCCTTTTTACGTAGGTACTCTGTGCTCAGTCTTTTATATTACACAACGTTAGCCTTAGGTTGCCTGAAATACACGGTACCTACACGATAATAAGGCTAGTTAAATAATAAATTATTACTGTTAATTAAATTTTATAAGAATGCCTGAAAATATCTTTAATTACATTTAATAATTAGTTACTACGGAGTAAAATTTCTTTTCTAAATATTACGTTGCTAATACACTTTCTATAAATTGTATAAACTTTTTGTGTCTTATTAATATCTTGTCTGTGAGGTATAATATTAATAAGTTTAAAAAATTATGAATGCTGTCTAATAATTAAAAAATTGTACCGAATATAAGTATCTAAACGGAGAATTATGTCATTATTGTTTTTATCTCGTTATGTCTGCTTGTTCCACTTATGCCTATAAGCTAACCTATCTTACTCTTCAGGCTGAAGAGTAAGATAGGTTAGCTTAGCTTATCTCCCTTTACTTATACTGATATTTGTATTCGAGAATAAAATTTAATGAGCCGTTAGAATATCTAATTTTAAACAGCTATTAAGTATTAAAACGACGAGAAATACACTATATTAAGTATAAAAGAATTAAAGAGGGAAGATGATTTTAAGATCGCTGTATTTGCACCTGATATCTATAATATTACAGACATCCATAGGCAATTATAAAATTGTGCTAGCGAACAGTTTTAGAGAATTGTCACGTAATGCTGCAGACCTTGCCAGAGTCCAATGAATACACAAAATAACCTTAAAATTATTTTAACGTTATTTTTAACGTTTTATAAGCATTTATTTTTTGAAAGTGTATAAGTCTACCATCCCCGCTATTTGATACGGATTAGATTATTTCTAATGTAACGGAAAATAATTTATGTTTAGAAGACGTAATGCTATTCTATGTTTTAGAGCTCTAGGAGAAAAATATAAAAACTAATATTATGTGCCGTTTCTACAGAATTATAACGAAAATTCTTAGATACATTCACGAAAAATCATTGCCAATTCGAAAGTGAAAATGTACATATATATGACAAGATTTTTAAACCTTTCATACTCGTTACGTGGCTTACTGACTAGCCTAATCTAAAACTAAAATTTTCAAATAGTCCTAAGCAAACGTTCGGGCGACACATATGTGCATCGTGGTTCGTGCGTAACGACAATATTCACGGCAACGTGGCACTAAAATTACCGAGTCCGGACACATAATAGCGACCCTAGACCTAGAATGACAACGCATGAATGGTACCACGGTCATAGGTATGAATATTATACATACTAGCTGTAACGTGTGACTTTGACTGCTTTATTTTGATGTTATTAGCCTACTATTTGTAACTGTGTGGTATTTGACTTTATTTTCAAAATAAAAGACTTTTTCTAAAATAAAAGTAGCCCGAGTAACTCCTTATTACATCAGCTACCTGCCAATAAAAATCCCGTCAAAATCAGTCCAGCCATTTCAGAGATTTATATTCATATGCATTTAATAAAAACCGGTTATTTCAATATTACAAACAGACACACCAATTTTATTTATATGTAGGTATAGATGTATACAGAACTGTTCTCGTGATATAATTAATCGTTACGTCTGTTTTTATTTAACTCCATCAGCTGTAAACAGCTTGAAAATGTAAGAATTAGACGAATAAATAGACATGCTCTCTCGTTACATTTAGAATATTAGTACGAATACTATGAATTGTGTAATGGCCGCTGGTCATGTGTAAAAGCTACAGTTACCACTTTCCATTAATACATGTTTAATTAGCCATTACAATCCTCTAAAAAAATCAATTTGGTATCATATTAGCTAATTGGACATTTTGCACAAGATGTCGAAGTATGAAGGTACATACTCAACCACAACCAAAGAGCAAACCCTCGTATATGTGGAAGCCATACCTTTCGTGGAAGCCTATATATAACTTTATTGTATACTTTAGAAAAAGACTTCGTTTTGTTTTTTAATACGTTCTGTTTGAGATGTTGCTAAGTTTCGTGTCCATATATAATATACTAGTGCCATGCGATGCCAGCGACTTCGTCTGCGAGGAATTAAATTTTCAAAGAGCTTATTTTTACAGTATCTTTATAAATTACATATATTTTGTTTTATTCAGATTTATAAGCTAGTTTAATATTAGTAAAGATTATTGATAGATATATAAAAAAAATATATGAAAAAATATATAAATACATCTTATAGATAACATTATATATACATAAAATTAGATAAATTGAAATAAACTTCTTTCAAATTTAACTAACTAATATCGCTTTAATAAAATTTTATAGTCAATATTGAAAAATTCGTAATTCGTAAGTAGATCCATTTTAAAATGTGAACTGATTCAATTACCTAACACAAGATGTAATTATATCTAATTTTAGAAACTAAATATAATATTGTAAAATAAAATCAAATAAACTGAGCACGGAATTTGTAAATACTCAAGGGATAACTAGTCTAGATGCTAGGGTATTTATAGCACAAATAATGTATAAGTACTAAATTTAAATTGACTAAGGTACGGTGTATGTATCTACGTAATATTAGTAGCTATGCAAAATTTACGAAAAATTTAACATATTTACAGTGTGTCCACTCCAACATCATTCATTCATACAAATCTATCATTATTTTACTGATATATTTTTAACATAGTCTTTTCATCTTATCATAACGTTGTATAGTGGAGTTTGCACAAAAATATTTTAATATACTATGAATTTAATTTAAAATTTAAAATACACATACTTTTATAATAGTAACAAAAGACTGAGATTTCGACCTATACAGATAAACTACGTGTATCAAGATAATATATTATAAAAGGTGTACAAAACAATTTTTCTGAAATAATAATTTCTAATATTATAATTCTGACAAAGTTCTCATAAAATAGAGTAGGAGCTAACTAAGTGCACAAAATCAAAAATGTAGTAACCTCACTAAATCACAAAGTGTAATCAGAAACGTGACAACAACAACATGACAACCGTCCACGTTGTGGTGAAATACCACTTATCAGGTCCATATTTCTCTGAGCATATTTCAATCCGGCGTGTATAGTAAATACGTAGTAATCTTTAACTTGTTGTGTTTGTTTTGGAAACTTTCAGACATAGGCATTAACGTAGTATAAACTGTTATTGTATAAACGGGATATTTACGATAATATATGAACTGTATATTGTGTATCGGAGGTAAAGTGTAAAAATTGTCTTTGTGGGTACATCAGCCTTATCTATTTCAACCGTTAAGCAGCTTGCTTTGTAATTCATAATTAAGTAGGAAATAGACAGTGAAATTACAGGATAAAAGGCGTGATATCTAAGTCCTTTGTAATGGGCACGCATGGTTTGTCATATCGTAACATGATGTCCGTAGTAGTTAGGTTATTTGCAATCCTAATTAAGTACATACATACTATAAAAACATTTATCTCCCAATATTAATACCGTGTTATTATAATTTATATTTTTGTACACAGAAATCCACATTGGTGAATATCAAGATCAGTAACCCAAAGAAATGTCGTAAACACGAATCGCCGAACTGCCATCACCTCAGTCACTTATCGCGCAACGTGCTGCGCGCGCGGCGTGGTGTCGTCCGAATGCTCATTGTGGTCGTTCTTACATTCGCAATATGCAACTTGCCCTTCCACGCTAGAAAAATGTGGCAATACTGGTCCAGTGGCTACCAAGGCACCAGTGACTTCAGCACTCTGCTCACACCGCTTACCTTTCTTATAACGTATTTCAACTCTGGCATTAATCCTCTACTATACGCATTTTTGTCAAAAAACTTCAGAAAAGGCATGAAGGAGCTATTATGTTGTAAATATCATGGAAAAAGGAAAAGTGAGAATTTAATCTTACTTAATCCTGTTGGGGGTGGAGCACTGAGGCGTAGCTCCACTCGGTCAACTCGAGCCAACTGCAGCACAGTCACGATGGCACCAAATGGGGACTCATGAGATTTGCGTCGCCGGCGTTTCCTGTACAAAGTGGAGAATATGGATATTTCCTGATTAACGGAGAGCACCGATGAGGTCACCGACAGCAGCGGATTTTATACCGTCTCCACTATATCAAAACGTGATCTATATGATTAATATAGACCAAATTGATCTAAAGGACATTTTTCAGTGTTACCGTTTCATTAGAATTAATAATAGAAAATCTTTATTGGAATAAATTATCTCCTTAAATAGAAATTAGTGATCTCATGAGCTTAAAATACAATATTTTATTACTGTAAATGCATGCATATTTTAATATCATATCATAAGTGATTAATTAACTTTCAAAGTGTACAAAATTAAATATAGGAAGTTTAAGATATGTGTAAATAAATTAAATGTATATTGAAAGACTCGGATTAAGTATAAAATATTAAAACAGTTAGATCCCACCCATCTCATGTATTTTTTTTTTAAATCATGCCTTTTTAGAACGCTTTTAAATCCTTTATTATATTACAAAGTTATTTTACACTAGATAAATATGAAAACAAAAAGAGTTATACATGTGGTTATATTGTAGTGTACCTATATAATTAAATCGTATGAAATATATAATAATAGATAAAATAATTAATTAAAACATTAATTAAACAATTCTGATCAATATTTAAATATATTGATATTGAGATAATGGCTACATGAAGGACAAAAACAAACAAAGTCGCTGTCGCTGTCTGTCTGTCCCTATGTATGCTTAAATCTTTAAAACTACGCAACGGATTTTGAAGCGGTTTATTTTTAATAGATAGAGTAATTCAAGAGGAATGTTTATATGTAAAATACATGTTGATCCGTGCGAAGCCGGGGCGGGTAGCTAGCATAATAATATTAAAAATATTTTACCTATATCCTCATAGACATTTGAGAAAATAATATCAGCTATACCATTATACTTTAGCAAGGAATTGAATTGCCTACTCCCAGTTATCGGTCGATAGCATCGATCGGTTTACTTATCGAAGATATAGCACTCGATCGCTCGATCGCTAACTTACTACTGTGAAAAATGCTTCATATGCACTACACGTCAAAATATATTTTAGTTGCTTTGTGCAGGAAACAGTCTCATTCTCAGGTGAAATTATAGAACCTCGTATTATATAGGATATGTATAATGTGCCTATAAATCTATATCACCTAAAAAAATATGAGAAAGAAATATAAAGCCACATCCGTACGCACCCGTGTCGCGCATTTTTCTCACCCTCACGTACTTATAATACATACTCGCACTTATGTCATGACGTGCCTTTATACATCAAACACGTAGACTGTAGAGCATACGAATAAGTACAGGCAAATAAGTACGACAATAACCAAATATACACCTCTTGTTACTTTGAAATGATTTATTCAAGAAGCCAATGTTCGAAGTTCAATATGTTTATTTTTAGATCTTTCAAATGATTGTTACGTAATAAACAATTTATAGGCTAATTCAGAATATATAATTTAGAAGTATATACAAAAGTTAATCCTTTTTTATAACTTTTCTAATACTAAAGCTTTACAGCTTCAACATACAAATATGGGTAAGTACAGAGAGCTCTTCAAGTTCGCCAGAGATCTTACACCGAAGACGCGGCTGAAAGCTAAGACTAGAGGTTCCAATCTCGGCTAAGACTATCGTAATTCAATACTAGTAGTATAATGTAAATACATGTATTTACAGAATTTAATAAAAAACACATGTAAACTATCATTACATGATAGATATGATTCAATTAGTAATATGATATAGTATTTTAGAATAATAGTAATCACAATACGCTATTTTTATTGTCATTATATAGAAATTTTGTTCTTTCATTGTAAAAAAACTCATTGTATGATGAGTCATACAATGAGTTTTTTTACAATGACTTTATGAGTAAAGTTATGAAAAACAACTTCAGTAATTGAATAAGTAATATCAAAATATTATAGACATTTGTCTGTGCTTTTTAAGACAAGAAAAGTTTAAAAGTAAATTAGGCGACTTCGTAATTTAAGACTCCGAAGAATGTTGTGTAAGAAGGAAAAGAAACCTATATATTATGACAACCTCTAATAACTTAAAACTTTTATTCTGCATTAAATGCCCGGATAATTTAATGTAGACCAAGAAAAATACCAATGATTGATATTTTTATGTAATTGGTTTAACATATAAGTTGAGAGCCCTCCTTATTATAATTATTAACCGTAAATATCAAGACATTTATTAACCCTGACCGAAAGGTCGTATATTCGAATATAGCCAAACAAAAAACATCTTAGGTCGTTTACATTTCGCATCATGCAAACACCCATAAGAAACCATACATCCGCCGCACAGTAGCTTCTTACCCTACCGCGTTGGACTCAAATATTCTTATTTCAACGAAATGTGGACGTAGATAGCTATTGTTGCGTTTACCATAAAGTTGACAGTTGACAATGTTTTGAACTACTCTGTCTGGAATAACAATTGTGAAGGTGTGTATATAGATGTCTATATACCACATTATTAATAGAAACATTTTATATCTACATCATCATTGGTACTGAGGTAGCCGTGAAAAGATAAGATGATGTTTATTTGTCAACTCTTCTATTTAATTTGACCTTGAGACATAATCTGCAATACATCATTATTGGACTTTTGCGACTACACAAGTCCTTTTCAATATAAGTAAGAGTCTTATTCAGCATCTCCTTTTTTGTATTCCGATACAATAAACAATCTTCAACAAATCGTCCTTTACGAAGTTAAATTAAAAAAATATATTAATGGTCTAAAACTGATTACGATCTTCAGGGTTGTTACACCTATTTTAATAAGTTTCTGATGGATTTGACAATTTACTTCGTCCACTATTTATTTGTCAGTTGCAAGTAACCATTATTTTATCTTATACACTTTTTCAACAGTAAAAGGCACAATATACGTATAATACGAAAAGAATCTTAAGAAATTATTTTAAACATAAGCAACCTAATAATGTAACAAACCTCAAGTGCCGACTATACTTATAACGATTTCCCACAACCAAAGACAGGGAATTCTATATAAACATTTTATAAATCTTCTGTTGGTGTATATTTGTTTTGAAGCCTTACGAAGCCTCAACCAACAAACAATTTATCAACATTTCAAATGAAAGCATAATCAGTTAATTAATATACAAGACAATAAGTTCAAATAGGACACTAAGTAAACGTACAGACCAATGTTTATAATTAGCTCCTGAATGTTCAAATAAAACGTTTGTGAGAGGAAGTATTGTTAATAGCACCTATCACAAATAAACGACGATTTTATATAGTATCATAATACCTTATGACGTAAAAGATGAAATAAAATTTATATTAATGTTGTAAATAAGAAAGCATATGTTTTAAATGTTTTTTTTTTTTAAACAGACTCTTTTGCATAATCTGTCTTTCACCTTTTCACGACTAAACATTAGAAAGTCGTGACGATTATTAAGTTACGAGGTTATAGGCTTACTCTTTTGTGTAAAAAAAAATTATTATGTCGCAGGTAACCGCTAGTCCTCTATACTCCCATGTTTTCTATACAATATAAAGCTAGTAAGATCAATCTTCTGATCCATTAACAATATTCACTACCTTGGATACATTGGACACTGAACATTTACCTTCGAATTTCAAATTCACTTTTCTGTATTAGTACAATATCTTTTTGTTAAGAAGGGTCATGAAAAGCGTCTTCTATCCTCCTGGTAGACCTTTTAGTGAAGTAAATTTTGTAAACAGTTGTCTACATTAGTACATGTCTCATCAACTTCATTTAAACTCTAGTCCTGTAGAATAGCAACGTATGAGGTGTATCACGGCCATTACTTGATGTGATGACGACTGTAATACTGCCCGTGTACATGGAAAATAGTCAGGTAGAGAAACTAAAGCTTCATGTATTCTCTCTACAACTATGATTTCTCTATACTTACTAACTTGTTACAGTAACATGCACATATTCAAATCAAAATCGGTGGATATATCTCATTATTTAACTTTACCAGTTACCCGTATAGATAGGTTTTTGTTGCATAATTAATAAATATTGGAGTCATGTCATCAAAATTATGAAAACAAATAAAAAACATTTATTAATGTCCGCTTATGAATGTCGTTTGTATTAATATTTCTTTCCTTACCGCATGAGAATTAGAGGGTCATCCAAGCCATGGTCTTATTATTAATTACGAAACTGTTATACTTGTTCTTTGTACGTGAATGACTTTAGTTTATTCTGTAGTATGAAAATTGCACGATTTAGCGACGGCTTCCAGAGCACCGACAGATATCCAAGTTCGAAGCAACTGCTTGATCGCCTGGAGTTTGTGTAGTGCACATATTGTAAAGTGTGAACATGAAGTTGAAAAACAACTAATTAAACTCAACTCAAAATCAAACGTATTTCATGTCCGTAAATACTGCTAGTTATCTTCCTGTTTATACATATATCTAGTTAAAAGCAAATAATCAATCTCAATTGAAATTCAAAAGCATATCGTGTTTGTGATTGCTCTAAGTTATGTGTAAGTTATAGGTGTGTACCATTAGTCCAATATGATACATAATACTACAACGTACATACTTATAATTGAGTAGTTATATCCTGCGGTATTGACAACGTACTGTAAAACTAATGTTACTCGTTAATAAATTTAGCTATATAAATGAATTTCAAAAGTCGGTCTAACATATTTAATTTATTTATAATTACACATATAAATATATCTAAATATGCAATAAATAAATCTTTGCTGTTTATCTTTCCCGGTAGGTATATATAATGAATAATACTTTCTAAATACTCTAATAATACTTTTAAAATATATAATTTTTCAATTTCAAATATAAAATTTTACTTGTGAATTTTTTGTCGCAAAGTTATATATATGAATAAAATAATATTTTCCGTATATGGGGAAATTATGTCGTAATTTGTATCATCTACAGATTCTCAAGGTAATAATAATAATAATCATCATCATCACAGGACATCATTAATCATAATAATCACAGGACAATTCACACAGCGCCATCTTGACCCAAGTTAAGCCAGCTAAAGCTTGTGTTATGGGTACTAGACAACTGATAATTTTCGACTAGATAATTTTCGTAAATACATACATATTATACATAGAAAATACCCAGACTAATATAAACAATCATACCCATGAATACAAAAGTTTATGCTGTGCGAGGAATCGAACCCGCGACCATCGGACGTAAAGCGGTGTGGTAGTGCCAGTGCCCAATAATAGAGGAAAATGTTAGTAATGGGGACTACTAACTTCATTGCTAGCAATGTGGCATGTCCGGTGGACCTCTACGTGGCCTTCTCCGGAAACGTAGCTAATTTCTGATGAATTTAATACGCAGGGATAACT